AAGTCTCAGACTCTTGGCCAGCCAAGGGCTCTGTGGTGTGCCGGCCGTGGCGCTCCAGGTCTCAGGGACCCCACTGGGTGTGATGCCGGAGCCTGCGCCCAGTTCACTCTCCCTGCCTGCAGCTGCGACTAGATCTTACCTCGCACCCTGCTCTTAAGTCACACTGAGAGGTTTGCCACATCCATCTTTTGCTTGCTAAAATGCCCTCCTGGCACCCAACCTGCTGTGCTGGTGGGAAGTTCTGAATTTAGAATCACATGACTCCTTCAACCACCCTGGCAGAGCCCTCCTGTCTTTCAAAAATTCAGCCCAAGACCACCACCGTGTCCTCAGTGGAGCCTTTCCTTCCCCAAGAGAATGGGCCTCCCTCCAGTATCCCCACCACACCCTTTTCTGATATTTCTTGTCTTTTTATCCCTACTGGTTCTGTAAAACCCTTTGAGGACTCAACTTCTTTGACAGTCCAACACCTAGCATTTGCCTGGCATTTAACAGCTGATTAAATGAATGGGGAAAAGTGGAGAGCCAAAGCTTTAGAATGTTTTTAAGATTTAAAGATGTAAAATGTTTTAAAATTTTTTCATTGGGCAACACTTCATTCTATAATATAAGTATTCCCCTGTTTTAAAATTTTTAAATGACTGTTTGCCAACTTGAAATGGGGGAAAATGCCCCGTTGCCTCCCAGGTCAGACACGATTCCTTTATTGCCTTTGTCCACGTCCACAGGCCAGTAGGTGGCGCTGTGGCGTGTGATTTGAGGTTTCCTGGGCTCACAGGGCTGTGTGGACTATGTCAGGATCAATTAGAAACCCAAGTCAGACTCAACAAATCTCCCCGGGAAGGTTAATAACCCAGCGTGGCCTGTATGGCACAGAAGGACTGAAGTGAGGCTCCGTGGGTGCAGCCTTGACAAGAGGCCGTTTCCTCCAGCTGCTTGTTCACATGAAAGTCTGTAGAGTTAGGGACCCTCAGACACTTAGATCTGGGCTGTCATCTGCCTCAAGCCCCTCGGAATCCCAGATTGTCATGGAGGGTTAAGAGTGTGACTTATTAGCTGGGCATGACGGTGCATGCCTGTAGTCCCAGCTACTCAGGAGGCTAAGGCAGGAGGATCACTTGAGCCCTAGAGTTTGAGGCTGCAGTGAGCTATGATGATGCCACTGCTCTATAGGTGACAGTGAGACCCTGTATCAAAAAAAAAAAAAAAAAAAAAGCATGACTTTGGGCTTGACCTGGCATTGCCTCTCTCTGCCTCTTCCTTGGTGTCTGACCTTGTGAAGTTACCTTTCCTAAGCCTCTATATCAGTCTGTACACACACACACACACACACACACACACACAGACACACTACACACGGGTAGGGGAGAGAGAGAATCAGAGCGAGATTTATTTTAAGGAATTGACTCACATGATTGTAGAGACTGGCAAGTTTGAAATACACAGGGCAGGTCAGTAGACTGGAAGCTCAGGGAAGAGCTGATGTTGTGGCCTCGAGTTGAAGACAGTCTGGAGGCAGAACTCCTTCTTCCTCAGGGAACCTTAGTCTTTTTCTTGGGGCCTTCAGCTGATCGGATGAGGCCCACCCATATTATGGAGAGTAATCTGCTTTACTCAAACTCTTATCGATTTAAATATCACATCCAAAAAATACCCTCACAACAATATCTAGATTGGCATTTGGCCAAACATCTGGGCATTCTAGTACAGTGAAGTTGACACACAAAATCAGCCACCACAGCATTCATTAACTTGCTTGTAAAACGGGCAGTGACATATTTTTTGAGACTCAACTAGTAACACACATGAAGTAATTGATCCATTACAAAATCTTTCTATGCACAACAGTTGCTTTTTTATTACTCTTGCAAGGTGAATGGCATGGCCTAGCCCCCTGGGTTTCCAGATTGTGGGAGACAGTGGGAGATGAGCAAAACTGAACGACCCAAGGACGCCGAGAGACAGCTCGAGGAGCAAAGGACCTGAGCCCGGACTTGTTAGCCAGTCAGCCTGTTAGTGATGGGAGCTGGTCTGGAGTCCCCAGGTGCCACTGGTGCTGATGGCCTTTAACTGAGCTCGCTGTGGCTTGTTCTTTGTGGGCTGCATGTAGACTTACTCCAGGATGCAGCCTGGGAGTGAGGTGCAACTGTCAGAGCCCAGGGAGCTGTCTTTCCGTGCCCAGGACACGCACCCGGGTGCATCTCATGTGAGCAGCTCTACCCCAGGGCCCCTGGTGATCTTGGCTGACTTGGCCTTTGTGTTTTCCAGGTTCTTCAGGACCCTCCATGTAGCTGGATATTTGTGCTTCATCGTCTCCTCAGACCAGCCCGCCCCACTCTGCTTTGGAACTTCTCCACTGGGTGACCACTTTGAACACCCAACCTCTGCTCCTTTATTTAGGCTCTGGGTTGGAACATTCCAGACGCCTCACAGGGAAGCTTTGTGTCCAGTCTTCCCCAGCCCATTACCATGGGGGACCAACTGCTGCCAGCCTTTGTGGGGTGAAGGCAGCCAGGATACTTGGCCATAGAAGAGGGTGCAGACGCGGTGTCGTCTGCCTAGAGTCTAATCCGAGCAGACAGCCCACACTAGTGATACATTCCCCTTTATCCAGCCGCTTTTTAAACCAGAGCTTAGCAGGATCACGGGAGGGAGAAATCCCCATTCCAACAAGCATGGAAAACTTGGGCGAGGAAAGAGCAGGGTTCGATTCTCTTCTCCAGATCCGCTTAGTGCCAGAGCTCTGAGCCTGACAACACACTCGCTTGCTCTGGGCTCCACTTTTTCTTCTCAAAATGCTTTATAAATATCTGGTCCCCCTACTCCCTGGAGTAAGGGTTAACACCATTCTTCAGGTAATAAGGCACAGACTCTCCTTGATGTGACCTGGTGCTACACTTCATCCCAGACGTAAACTCCGCTTAGTCTAGCCAGGCCACGCTTTCCTCCTCCAGGCAGGCTTCTAGGATCTCCAGCTGCAGCTGCCCAGCCAGTCGGGAACCAAGAGGAACAAGAGAGGCAGACGGGGTGCAACCCCCAGCCCCCTGCTACCTCCAGCCATGGTGCCCCTCAGCACCGCCTGAGGCAGAGGCGGCATCCAGAAGGGAGAGGGGTCTCCCTGGCACTCTCAGCAGCCAGGGACCCCCCACAGAGCAGCAGCCCTGCCCTGAGGGAGCCAGCCTTGGGTGACTTATGTCTCCCACCTGACCATCCAGCCCAGCGAGGCTGAGACCTCAGGCTGCTGACTCACATGGGACCTGCTTTGAGTTTTTCCTAAACGTATCAGCTTTTTGTGACTAACCTTTAGAATTTAACTTTCATTTTTATCAAAGCATACAGATACTAGTTTCAAGTCAAGTGACGCTACAAGGCTTGTAATGAGGAGCAGGAGTTCCTGGACCCACACCACCCTGGGGAGTCTCGGTCCCCAGGGGTGATCACTCTCAACTCTCACAGCTCTTTCTTCTGCTTAAGTAACAATTTCTCAATTCATGCTTACACTGTTATTTCAGTGGTTTTCAGGTTTCAGATATTCTCTACTGACTTGAAAGGCAATTTAGCTCCCAGACCTCAGCAACACTCATTGCCCCACCTGCCGCCCATCCTTGAAATTTGATTTTTATCTCCCTTTCTCGGTTAAATCAATATTCATTGTTTACAGAGTTTTTTTTAATTGTGCAAATATCATTCTCACTTGAGCCATGTCGCACACTGTAATTACACTTCTGTTAGTTTTCCTTTGTCTGAAAATGTCTTAATATCACCATCATTTTTGAAAGATATATTTGGCAGATATAGAATTTGGGGTGAACAGGTTTTTTTTTATATCACATTTAAAGATGTTCTTTTGGCCTCCAGGATTTCTGATGAGAAGTCCAAGTCATTCAAATCTTTGTTTGCCTGAAATAAGTTTGTTGTTTTTCTCTGTTTTCAAGATTTTCTCTTTATCTTTGATTTTCTGCAGTTTCGCCATGAAGTGCTTAGGGATAGCTCTCTTCAAAGTTATCCTGTTTGGAGTTTACTGAGCTGCTTTAATTTGTAGACTTAGTCATTCACTAAAGTTAGGATGTTTTCAGTTATTGTTTCTTTCTTTCTTTTTTTTTTTTTGAGATAGTCTTGCTCTGTTGCCCAGGCTATAGTGCCATGGTGTCAGCCTATCTCACAGCAACCTCAAACTCCTGGGCTCAAGCGATCCTCCTGCCTCAGCCTCTTGAGTAGCTGGGACTACAGGCATGCACCACCATGCCTGGATAATTTTTCTATTTTTAGTAGAAACGGGGTCTCACTTTTGCTCAGGCTGGTCTTGAACTCCTGGACTCAAGTGATCCTCCTGCCTCAGCCTCCTGAGTAGCTGAGACTAGAGGCACATACTACCACACCCAGCTAATTTTTATTTTATCTTATTTTTGGTAGAGATGGGGTCTCACTGTTGCCCAGGCTGGTCTCGAACTCCTGGCCTCAAGCGATCCTTCCGACTTCAGGAAATCCCTGCTACCATGCAAACTCTGTAAGCCTTAATTTTTAACATTCAGATGCAAATTAGCTTTGCTGAGAGTGGGAGAAGCCAAAGAAGAGGCTCAGGAAGAGTGTCCAGTGAAGGCCACTGACCCAGGGACCAGGCTGTTGGGAACTGGGGTGGGAGGACTGAGTAAAAGGGGCCACAGGATGGCTCCATAGAGAGAGGTTCCAGGTATGTGTCCTCCCCACGACAGAGCCTCAGGACGTGGGCTTAAACACACAGGCCCAAGAGTCAGAAAACCCCAGATGTGACCTCCAGCTCTGCCACTAGAATACAAAAAACAAGGAGATCAAGGTCGCTTTTCCCTAAAAGTCCTATAGTCCTGCTCTGTGTGACCTAATTAGCCAAGAACTGAAGGCCTTATCCATAGATTTGTATCAGCTGACATGTTCACTGTCATTGCTTACAGCTTCGAAAACTTCTCCTAGCAGAGCAGGTGGTTGGAGATTCCTCCCAGTCACCACAGAGAAGATTTAACAAGTAAAAACCTGCAAACTCTTTATTAAATTCTCCCATATCATCTGTACAGAAAAAAATGCACATTATGTTCAGAACATATCTCAGTAACATCTCAAAATTACACAGCATGAACATGTAAAAACAAGGAACTGCCAGGATTTTATACATAGAAAGGAAACCCATTTACAAAAGAGGCTTGTTAATTGTACTTTTCTTTTTTTCTTTCCTTCAAAAAAAAAAAAAAAAAAAGTTAAAGGCCTAAGATCGCACACAGCATTTGCTGCAGTCTGTTTTCCTGCTGGGACTAACCTGGGACCGTTGTGCTGGGGGAAGCTGTCCAGGAAGCCTCCCTGTTGTCAGCTCTCCTGGGGGTCCCCCCAATGCAGTGCACTGCAGTTTGACCTGGGGGACCTATTTGCACCACCCTGGCATGTCTGCAGAGGGCCCTGCTGGCCTCTGGGGTCCAGATGTCAATTCTATGTTGAAAGGAAGGCAAAACACAAGATAGAGGCACTGTCTGAACTTTGTCCTAGCCCAGGAATATTTCTCTAGTGCACACTGCACGACGTCCTACATGTGGGTGGTGACGGATCGTGGGAAGGAGGAGAGAGGACCACCTGTTAGGATCCCATCATCACCAGCCTGAGCAGAAAGCCCCATCTTTGTGCTCCAGGTGACAGTCCTCTGGGCCCCCACAATGATCGCACCAGATGGCCTGGGGGAGTCTGTCACCCTAAAGATCAGTCTGGGTTTGCTAATGACTTATCTGTTGTTGGTATCTGGGTAGGAAGGGGTATTTGGCTTCAAACGCGACTGCTCTAGCATGTGACCTAGTCCTCCCTGGTGATGGAGGAGGACCAAGGAGTGTGGTTAAAGGGAGGGCCAACCAAAGGCAAATGGGAAGAAAGGAGGGAGGCCAGAACACTGGATCTGGCCACAGGCCCTTGGGAACCAAAGAGGCAGGTCAGAAGACAATTGTCCCTCCAGGCCCAAGAGAAACCCCGTGACACTAGAATGCTGTATTTTATAAAATTACTTAGGTGCTGCCCAAATGGTGAGAAATAAAAGGGAACATTCTGATCTGAGGTTTTTCAAATTTATACGAAGATGAAATACAAGTAAACACACCAAAATACACATAATCTAAAAAGCCATACTCTTCTTTTGGTTCTATGACCCACATTTAGGTTGAATGTGCCAGGCTGGTAGGTTGACTCTGAGGGTTCCAAGTCCGGCTTCCTTTTCCTCATCTGCTAACTCAGACTCAGTTCCATGTGGAGAGTGTTTACTTTTGTGATGCGCAGGGGGAGCAATGGGAAGGAAAGGCCTTTCCTGAGAGGGACCTGAGGCCAGCTAGGAGAGGAGGCCCCATGAAACCACCTAACCCTCCCTGGATGACTCACTAGAGCAGGATCTTTGGGACGGAAGAAGTATCATGACGCTGGAGGCCAGGAGCATGGGAGACATTTCCAGAAATCATACTGGTACATTACATAAAAGTGAATCTTCCTTAGGAAGGTCAAGGGGAGTCAGCCACATAATTCCCTTTCCAATCTGTCTGATAAAATGTAAAATGTATGTGTAGACGTCCTCACCATTGGATTCTTTTATTAGTTGAAATAGGAAGAAATGAAATAGTAACTTTCTGTCCCATCTTCTAGGAAAGGAATCACCTCCCTGAGATGCATCTGCACCCCACCAGCCGAGCTGCTCACTGTCCCTCAGAAGAGTAAGTACAGGGTGCAACAGCCAAAGGCCTGCAACGAACTCGCACCAACACCTGCTTACTAAATACCAGTTCATTGGAAGCCCTAGAATTTGCCGAGCTTCTAAGGATGCACTGGCTCAGACTAAGCTGACTGGAGCCATAGCACTGGGACTGGGAATGGTAGCCAGAGGGTCTCCAGGGAATGCAGGAAGGGCTTTCCCAGCACCAAACCCAAGCCTTTGGTATGAGCCTCTGTTGGTGCATCTTGCCGGCAACTTGTCTTGGGACAGCAGCGGAAGTCCAGGGATGGACCAAGGTCTCACTCACAGACACCCCCTTCTGTGGGAGAAGCTCCGTTGGGAGCAGTTAGTCTTGTTCTTGACATTTTGCCCAGATTTCTCATCTGTACCACAGCGCCTCCAGCCTGGGATCCTGGCGCCTCTGAAAGGTTGTGGAGAACACTGTGTATAAGAGTCCCCGAGACACTGTCATGAGCTGGCAAGGCCAGATTGACAGTGCCCTGGCTGCAGTAATTTTTAGTAAGCGCCTAGAGCCTTGGCCTTGGCAAAAAACCCTAACAGCTACTGACATTATTGTTTTTGGGCTAGACATCAGGAGAATAGAGAAAGGCCAGAGTCCATCATCAGCTCCTACAGAAGGGTCACGGTTCCTCTTCTTGACTAGTTCTCAACCAGCTGATTTATACCCATGATTGCCCCATGAGGGGGAACCAGGGGTGCCTGGGCCCTGCCTTGTTATGCCAAATGAGATACAGAAGAGATGTAGCTGGGCTGCCAGTTTGGATGGCGCTCGGTCCCTTGGATTTAGAAAAACTTGCTCAGGACCTGCCTGGGACTTTCAAGAGCCAGTCGTAAGAAACTACTCCAAGTAGGAAGGTAAAAGACTAGACTTTTTTGTACCAAGCAACTGAAGATATCAGCAGAGCTATAATTTCTATTCTGACCATTTCTAAAGATGACAAATGTTCCAAGAACCAAACTCTTCATCAAACTTCCAAATTTGCTGCAGACAACTAATGGGATTTTCTCAGTTCAGAGAGAACAGAAATATCGAGACACTTCAGAACTAGAAGGATGTTTTACACGTCGGGAGGAAGACTGCAGAGATGGACAATGATACCTCCACCCTCGTCAAACAGTGAACATTAACCCTATCCTGTAAACCACACAGATATGTCAGTGGGAATCTGCATTAGAAGACATTCCTGGTTCTTGCTGTCAAGCCTCAGCAGCCCCCCACCCAAAGGGGAACCCCTGGACAGGGAAGGTCCAGACCAGCTCAGTTCAGTCTGACAGTGGTGGTAGTAAGGTGTGCTGCACATACTCCAAGGGTTTCAAGTTTTATGAGATTGAAAAGTCCCAGGACAGTTGCAGAGAATCAGGAAGACCCTAAGAGCAGGACTGAGGGGACCAAGCAGGTTAGCAGCTTCCCTTGGTGACTAGCACTACCCTCGGCAGGGGGCATACAGCTGGCTTCTGGAACCCACTGCCTCTAGGAAAGGCAGCAAAATAGAAAAAAGAAATAGAAGGAAGAAAACCACAGTATTCAAATATGCATCAGTCAGGTTAGACAAGGAGTAATTTGGATCGATCGATCCACAAACTGACACACCTTGTACGGAACACATTTCAGGGAAGACAAACGTTGCTTGGGTGCCGCGGCACACGTGGACAGCAGGAAGGAGAGGCAGGAGGAGGAAGGGCACCATGGGAGGGCCTCGGTCTACATGGACAGTTTTAGGCACATGATTTATAATACTTTGCGGACATCTAACAGGTTAATAAAATATATATTATATAAATATATCTCCTACTGTACAAGCTGCTTTCTTGCGCAGCCACTATGACTTCATGCCCCAAACTCAACCAAAAGGTGTGCCAGGTTGAGCTGTGATGCCTGGACTCCTCCTATTCTTATACCCCAAACCTGTCACCTCCACGCTGGAGGAATGAGGGGGGTGGCCAGGAATATTGCTTCTATAAAGCTCAGATTCTGGAAAGGTTGATGGATCACCGAAACACAAAATTTAGCCGATGCCTAATAGAGTGGGTACACGCAGCAGACAGACAGGAAAAAAAAAAAAAAACGGAGAAAATCCTCCATCTTTTAATGTAATAAATTTCCACACCCTCTCCATGTAGAGGCACAAAGAAGCGTGTCTGGGAAGTTTGCCTGGAGTGTGCAGAAAGGTCAGCTTGGACTGCCAGGCACACCCTGAGACCATGCTAAATCTTTATAAGCCACTGTCTCTGACCTGTATTGTAGCCTGAAAAATAAAGCAAAGTGAATCAACCCCCTGCTCCTCTTTCCTGTCCTGCCGCCCCCCACACCCAAGTCTTCAAGGACCCTCGCTGCCATCACTGCCTCCCGGTGGAGCACAGCACTTCTGGAGAAACTGCTACCTCAGCAGGGTCGATCCAGACGCGCGGAGTCCTGCACTGTCCTGGAGGAGGTTACTGGGCTCCGGCTGCCGAGGGACTCAGAGTCCAGCCTCTCGGCACAGATCAACAGAGCATCCACCTTCACAAACTTCGGGTCCCCTCCCCTCCCCATCTGACCTTGGCCTAGGGAGGCTCCTGCTTTACTTCAATGCCGTGAGGAGATCACTGAGATATCCATGCCTTGGGGCTGTGACCAGCAATGGCTCGTGTAGGGTGGGAACTGGAAGGCATCACTGTTTCAGCAGAAGAAAGCAGGACCCAGAGCAGGCTGGTTAGTGGTTTCCCACTACTAGAAGACCATGGCCCTGACGTGGCCCAACAGTGCTTCTGAGAGATGAATGTGACATCTCAGTTACAGCGTACTGGGTGGTGTGCGTCCCCTCTAAGTCCTGCCTTCATTTTACACAGTCACATAGAAGAAATAACCCCATTGACCAAATAAAGCCTGGAGATGTGTTACTATATACATTTTTTTCTTTAAAAATTTCTTTGCTTTTTTTGGTGTTTTTTTTTTAAAAAAAGCATTTGAGTTGCAGGTCAGGTGAGTTGGTTCTGGAAGTACTGGTAGTTCTGTTGGTATGAGAGACTTGTCTACGGGCAGGTAAACCCAAGTTTGCCAACAAAGGCAATAACCCAAGCGGCCAGCTGCTGATGCTGCACGAATGGTGAGGAGGAGGACACCATGAACATGGGCGAAGTCTGGATGGGACAATGCAGTGGACACCTGCCGATGCTCTAACATGGGTGTTGGTGTCACCTCTCAGAAGAGCGAGGCGATTGGGTACACTATACAGGAGGGCTGTACAAACAGGACACGGATAGGTAGTTCCTTTGGTGATCAAGGTGGCTCTACCTGTCCTTGAGCTCTCGTGTCACTCGCTTAGTGATCCGTCCACACATCAGGCCAATCAGGAACAATATACAGATGCTCCCACTGATCACAGAGAGAATGTAGTTTTTGGATGGAGACGTCATTACTTGCATGGCGAGATCAGAGAAGCCATCTGCTGGGGCCACCTAGAAGGACACAGAGCACGTGATCTTCTGAAAGAACTGGGCTGGTGGCAGTGCTAGGTCTAACCATCCCCCTCGATTCCTAGTTTAATTTATGTCTTTCTTTTGGGGAGGGGGGGAATGCACAAGAAAATCAACACAGAGCTAAAACTCTTCCTGATCATAAAACTGTGTACGTCTGCTGCACAAAATTAGGAATATGAAAGACAAAAAGAGGTACAGTCACCCACAATTCTATCATAGCGATCACCACTACTAACATAGTAACACTAAGGACTTGACGATGTGTTGGGCCGGGGGAAAGGGCTCTGTGTGTTCTCACTCACTGAGTGTTCACACCAAGCCTAGCGAGCAGGTTTCTCGACTTCCATGTTGCAGATAAAGAGTCAGTGGCCCAGGGTAAGGGTAGTTAACTGACATGCACAAGGCCACAGGTTCTTACGCATTTTGATTTATACTCTTCATTGTGTTCGCTGTGTTTTCAAAAAACAGAAAAGGAGAGATTGTGCTGTATGTTAATTCTGACTTTTTTCACTCACCGTTACATCATAGGCATTACCCATATCAAAAACAATATGTGGACGTGACTTATAATGATAGAATATACTTAACCACTCTTCAATTATGGACATTTATAGTTTAACCAGTTTTTATCCTCAGTTTTCCATTGCTTTCTCCAGTGGACCTCTATGGTGGCCTGCCATGGCAGAATCAGGACTGAAAGGTTCCCAATGTACACACAAACCTGTTCTTTTGAGTCTCAGCCTGGGTGCTAGAAGTGATCTGGCCCAGAGATGTCCAGGCTGTTTCATCCCAGGTACACGGAATAGAGCAGAGAGGCGTGAGAGTAAAGAGATTTGAGCACCAACAGTTGCAACACAAAACAAGCAGTGAATCACTCTGAGTCAGTCTGTAGCAATGCTATGCAGCTCAAAGGAGTGGAAACCAAAGAAAGAACAGACCAATGCAGTAGCTCTCTCTACTGCTTCACCAAGCCAAGGGCTCAAAAGGTGACTTTCTTCCCTTGGGAGAGGGGGTGAGGGAGTGTTAACTATTGTGACAAATATGATCCGTCCCCTGCATCTCCCTTCCATCTGGGTATGAAGACTTTCTTTGGTCATTCCCTCTTGCCTTGTTACCTTTGACCTAGAAGCATACAGGGAATAGGAGGAATTGGCCAAGAAGGAGAGGAGTTCCCGTGGTCACATTCTTGACCTAAGGTCACTGGGAACCTCTATCCCAGTGTGAGCTGATACAAAAGCATGGATCTAGAAATCTAAGGATCTCGGGCAAATCATAATCTCTGAAGTCAGTTTCCTGAGGGAATCATCATTCTACTTACCTCACAGGGTTTCAAGGTAATGGCATAACATATCCATCAAAGTGTTTTGTAAACTACAAAGCAATGTATACATGAGAAGAACTGTTATTCTTCTCACTGAGGCTGAACTTTTGTAGGGAAAATTTCGCCCAGCCCACGTCTGCTTGGGTACCACACACATTCACCAGTGTCCTGCAGTCTCCCTTCATTCTACTCTTCATGTTCCAGACCACTGAGCATTGGTCTCACGTATGTATTTTTCTCCCAAAATTGTATAAAATTACAAAAACAAGCTTTATCACAGGCAAGGCTGGATTTCTTTCTTTTTCCACGGGCATGATGTCTCCTTTCTCTTTGGGTGACTCACTTTTCAGTAGTGAACCATGGGCAACTGAGGGCAGAAAGCAGTGGCCCTGGCAAAGCCTTGCAGACACAGCCCAATGCAAAGCGAGATGGTGGCTCCAGGCTCATGAATAGTCAAGGAGTTTTAAAAGTGCACCAACTAAGCTTTCAAATACACTTATTGCTAGTCCCACAATAAGGAAAAAAGACCAGTGAAGTATCTCAAAGAGACTGGAAAATGACAGAAGAGATCATCATGTCAGGAGACTCTCTTGATCGTTACCTTTGCTGCATAACTCCACATTTCAATGCGGTCATTGAGGCGTTTTTTACACTCGGGTTGTAACCTCACCCGCTTATCCTCCAGTGCCTCCATGAGACAGGACATTTCTGTGGGAGGAAGTGGACAAGAAGGAGAGTCTGAAACTGTGCAGATCAGAGAAGTTTCTGTAACATTAGGGAAGAGGATATCCAACCACCAGAGAATTCAGATCTGAAGGCTCAACCGAGTTAAATTCATTCTAGGAAACTTGAGCCAAGATCCAACATGGAGATAAATTATATTTAACCTCCAAGCTTGGCTGTGCAGAGTCTCTCTCAAAACCGCTTATTTTTATTGGGCATACCTGGTCCAGAAACAACTTTTACACCTGTCCTAGCTCCAGCCTCACAATGAACCTATCTATTGAGCCCACTGTGACCACTGGGAAGCAGATGAAGCTGGTTTGGGTAAGGAGAGAAAGAGGGCCATGATGGTGACTTAACTTTTGCTTCCCTGATAAATACAATAACTCAACTCTCCCTTTTCTTCAAATCTTTAGCTCTGGTCATGAATAGGTCAGTTCCAACCTGCAGGATTACTCCTAAATTCACTATGCCACAAAGGCCTCGTTTTGGCATCAGCCAGGCCCCTAGGGGATGTTGTCTATAGTTGGGCAGCAGCTACAGAACAGAGTAGCTATAACTGATGTCTGAGAGGGAGTCTTTGCTCCTCTGGAGATAGTTCAGACAGAGTCAGAGTGAACATCGTGACTTACGACGTCCACGGCCAGGGGTGATGGCTGCACAGTGGTGTTTAATGTCCAGGGCACAAGCTGTATGAAGAACTGGGTCCACAAAGATGTCTGCTTTGCTTTCCTTCAGCATGTTCAACACTTCCTAGAAAAGGAAAGTCATTGTGGAGAGAGGTTTTGTAGAGGAAATGCATCAGATCTGTTGTCTATACATACTTTATATATAAACAAACAAGTCCAGGAGGGAAAGTTGAGGGTTAACAACAGAGATTACTCTGGTATGGGTGGCAATGTAGTGATGATGTACACAACGCAGATTTTTAGCATCCAATTTACATCCAACAACTAACTTTTAGGGATGCAAAGCTATGTGTGAAGGAAAGCAGGGGTCTGTAAGTGATTCTAAGATCAGATCTGGGTTTCTGACATTCTGGTATGCCATATTATTTTAAAATACCTAAAGGTTCGGCTGGGCACGGTGGCTCACGCCTGTAATCCTAGCTCTCTGGGAGGCCGAGGTGGGCGGATTGTTTGAGCTCAGGAGTTCGAAACCAGCCTGAGCAAGAGCAA